ATCGGTGTAGAAGATATGAAGACGAGAAGGTTGTTGTTTGCGGCCGATCTCCTTGTTTCATTAGCATCTTCTGAAACTGATCTTCAGTGCTCCCTAGAAAGGTTCTCAACCGGTGCGACGTGACGGGCATGGGTGTGAGCGCATCTAAAACGAAAAGCCTAGTGTTTTCTTGTTTTCCTGCCTGTTGCTCTGTTCAGACTAATGTAGAGGCAGTGGAGCAGGTAGAGAAGTTCAAGTACCTCAGAATTTCATTTCATTAGTGATGAAAAATTTGAATGAGAGTTCGACCGGCGAACCCGACCCATTGTGACTAGAGAGCTCAGTCTGAAAACTAAGCTCTCAATATTCAAGTCGATCTTTATCCCCGTGCTTCACCACCATCACTGAAAAACTTCGAACTCGGGTACAAACTGCTGAAATGGGCTTTCTTAGACGAGTCGTTGGCCTTACGCGTCTCGACATGGTCTGGAATAGTGACATCCGAAAGATCTTGGTATACAGCGTTTGCTTCTCGTGATTGAGAAGTCACAGCTGCGATATTTTGGCCACGTGCTCAGAATGCCTCTAGAGAGTAAGGCTAAGCAAGTGTTTCTTGCGAATCCGACCGGCAGAAGGCCCAGGGGTCGGGTAAGATTAGCCTGGTGCAAATATATGGAAGGAGTGTATTTCAGACTCCAGTTGTCTTTTGCCGAAGCTCAGACTCTGGCACAGGATCGGGAACGTTGGAAGCCCTGCCTGACGGGTCTGCTTTCGCGAGCCGAAAGGATAAGCGGCGATGGAGAATGGATATGGAGAAGGAAGTTAAAGAGGAGAATTCTGTGGAAAATGAGTTTCAAACCTTTTTGGATTGATCGATGTTCAAAATGTAGAACAAATAGTGCCAGGATCGCTTAGGGGCTCCTCGGTCGTCGCCTACGCTATTTATGTGTTTTAGTGCTGTTTTTAATGGACATTTTTAAATAGCGCTCCACGTTAAATGGCGGTGTCTCTCTACCCGACTTGTCCTCGTTGTGTGTGCGTTGTGAACACGAGACGAAGCTAATCCGTTATTCCTTGATGTGTGCTGTCTGTCTTGAGCAGTGGCCAAGTGGTTTGGTGTCATCCCCACGTCTTCTTTGATGACTGAGGGGGCCTTCGTGGTTCAGCGAAACCCGGTTTGGAATTCATGGCGTCAGCGGAATGTTTTTCAGGGGCGAACCGCATAACCAGCCCACCTTCTGCGGTGACCTTGCGTATACATCA